CTCTCTCAGGAGGTTATATACTCTATGATTTTTGTGTTATTTAATTTAGTATTGTTTTTCAGAGCGGCAATGTGCGAGATGGTGTTTCAGCGCAGGCTGTGTACTCTCAAACTTTAGAATTAGAAACTTTGGAAAAATCTACAGAAGGCTGAGGCACAGCTGGTTAATGTGCAAAAATCACTTCAGCAGTACTGTTAAAATTAGTATCTAGGCACTTTATAGATTTTAGGGCTTCCGTAAAAGTCTGATTTTAGAATTAAAAAAAAAGTATCTCCTCCCTGCAGTAATTCTTCTATGTCTCTCTGGAGGTGGCTGGTGGGATGGACACAAGATGCAGAAGACTGACCCCCATGGAAAGCACTGGTAATGGTGAGGCCACCAGATTTCTGGACTTGGAGAATTTAAGAGGCCAGGGACAGCAACCTGCTGTCTGCTGGGAGTCTGCTACATTAAAGAATCCACCCAAGACTCAAGAAGGCGGAGAACAAAAATCACATAATTTTTTGCTGGAGCTGACTACTTTGCAAAATTAACCTTCCACAAGTAACCTGCCTGTAACTCAGACTCATCCTGATGCTTTTGGACCACTTCACCAACTGCTCCCCTCAGCATTCACTCCCACATGCCACAAAGAATAGGCGAAGTGAGAAGAGGATGCCTTGCAGTCTGACAAAACCCATCTAACAAGAGGGAAATACCTGTCCTGCATTTTGTTTATCACACTGTACTTCCTTGCTGTTGAGGTCTCCTATGAAACAGTGCTTAGTCTCAAGAATCAACTCACAACTCAGCTACTGAGATAAAAACTTATCCTAGTTAAATAAGGGCTAGGACTATCAAGCTCAAATTGATCATTTTCATAAAACAGAAACATACTCTGACATGGAAAACATAACCACTTTGAGCCCAATGTGGCTGTCTTAAGTAAGGAGGGCTAAATAGGTAGAATCATCAAGACACTGACTACCTGTGCTGCTTCGAGAAGGTAATGGCAGAGTGATCATCAGTCCGTGGCTCAAGATAGCTCTAGTTCATACAAGATTCAGGTATGGCTTCTACAGTAAATGATCCACGGTTTCCTCTCAGGAATTGCAAATAAGTAAGCCTGCAAGGTGCATGGAAACACCAAATCAGGGAATCTCACCTGTCATGCAGTGGAGCTATACACACAGTGTAGCTAATCACACAGTCACTTCTTCGGAGTGACCACGCTGAGCTGCTTGTCCTCCTCTGCATTGCTTTTCATAAGGTATCCCCAGTGACTCCTGGCCATATGAAAACAGCAGAGCATGGCTGGTAAAGTCAGCAAGATTGGAGACTGGAGTCAAAACAAGTAGTGAAAGGTGGAGGCGGATGCGAGAGGAAAGAAGTTTATCCTAAAACATTCGACATCAGGACTTAATCTACAGTTTTGTGTCTTTCCTACTGATGTTGATAAACGAGTAACAACTCATGTGAAATGCTGATTATTTTCAGAGATTAATATACTGGCTCTTATTTGTAGTTTAACTGTCTACTGATTGGCGGTGCCTTTTAAATTAAAAAAAACTTCAAAAAATAAAAAAGCCACCTACCAAGACGGATCTAAGATCAGTTCTGTAAGATGCAACTGACAGGGCTTTGATTGCATAAGATGAGGCTAGCCAACCTTCTGCACAAGCAGGAATCTTCCATGCCACCTAAACAAACCCTTTTTCTGATTCAATTGTTTCTCTCCATCCTTCATCTCAGACATATCTGCACTGGAATCTCTCCAGCCTCCCTTCTCAACAGCTGCAAATTAACTACAGAGATCCCAGCAGACTCTGCAACAGGTGGCTCAGCGCCTCGCTTCACAATTGGTGCACTGCAGGGAAAGGAATGCTGCACTGAATCCTAATGCTTGCAAGTGCTCTCAGATTTACAGTCATGTAGGAAGTAATGGGGTGAAAAAGAGTATGCCAGATAACAGAGCAAAAGGACACGGAGGAGAAACATAGCTGCCCTGAAAATGCCTGCAGTCTCCAAGATGCAAGACAGTAGAAGGAAGGAGTAACGTTACTGAATGTTAGGAGCTTTCAGAAATGTGGCCATTGTGGTACTTTCCTTCTGAGAGGCAACATTAATGTCAAACCCATGGCAAGTCTCTAAATGACTTATACTTTGCCTACACCAATTTTTATTTTTTTTTTTTTTTACAACTCATTTCAAATGATTAATGTATCTTAGTTCTAAAAGCAAAGCAGGTAACTTTTGTTTATCACAAAACCTGAGCTCATAAGTAATCCCAACCCACTCGAGGTTTCCCTGTGTAGTATTTCCAGGACCAGGAGCACTGGGGACTGCAGATACCTTCATGTTGCAGAACCAGGGTAGGTTCAGCAAGCCTGGCTGTGTTCCTGGAAGGGGTATGGAGGCAGTGGCGGATATGGGGCTTGTAGGAACAGCATGAGCTGGCGCCTATCTAATCCCACACGCTACCACACACACATGCTGTACCTATATAGCTGAATCTGGTGTTATGCTGAAGTTATTTAGCCCTCAAAACACCATGAAGCACCGTGCATGGGCAGGCAAGTGGCTATGCAGCACCAATTCTGTGAGGCTGGATATGCCTACACACTGCTCCCCAGTGTTTTGCATATTTGCATTATCCAAGTTTCTCAGCTTTTCTCTATCTAATGTCTAATGGGGACCTGACTGCCAAATGATACAAAACAGAGGCTAAACAACCAAAAAACCTTTCCCATTTCTACTCAAAGTAGCTCAACTAGATAGAGGTAAAAATCCAGGGCTATATTGTACATCCAGAACAAGTGGTAATGGGCCATGAAAATTTTTGTGGCTCACAGCTAAGAAACTGGAAGATAGTTCTCTCATTTCTCTTCTCAGCTTCCCACACTTGGACCCAAAAAAGAACCTCAAGTTTAAGACACAAATACAACACACAAGGACTCTTCTCAAACAGTTTAATAGCAAATAAACAAAGGAAGGTACCACACTTGGCATATACAAAATGACTTGTTGTCGGTGTGTCTGTGCAATTAAAACAGCTTTAAGTTGCCCTTTGGGACAAGAAGAAAAAAAAAAACAACACACACACAAAAGGAAGAAAATTCCTTTAACACATACTCACTTGTTCCAAACTTGTAACAAATCTTTTCATTTTTAAATCCACTACACAAACTCTGCGATCAGATCAGAAAAGCAACATGTGCTCCTCTGCTTTTTAAACCATTAAAGTAAAATCCGTAATTCTCTACAGAGTACAACACAATTTCACACAAAAAGACATTTTGTTTTGCAAATCAAAACAAGAAAAAAAGGAACAGCTCAAACAAGGTAAAGAAAAGCATTTCTACGACTGAACCACGACTTCGAGTTGATTAAATCCCGTTACTGCAGAACAGACTCTACATTTGGTCATAGTGGCAATTTGTTTTCTCATCACATTGTGAATCACTTTACATTGTTTTCTAGTAGAAAAGGCAAAAAACTGTACAAAACCCCTAGTGTTAAATACAACGTTTGTACCAATAAAAAAGCCCACAGGTTTGTCTCCAAAATGTAAATTTTCTTTTTAAATTATTCACAAAAAGCAGCCAAAAATCAGAAAGGCAGCTGCTGCTCCACTGTCTCAAATCCATTAAAACCACCACAGAACAATTAAAACAACCAAAGGAAGAAAAGGAAAGAAGAAAGGAAAGAAACATCCAATGTTTGGCATTTTGGTTTTCTTCAGATATTTTTCCACAGGTTTCCCCAAAGTTCCTTATGGAACCCAATGCGCATGTACAGAAACGTGTTGGCAGTTACTCAATACACTGCAGGGTATCAGTGCCCCCCACTGACACACAGCCCTGTGCATTCAGACTGTGTGACCAACAGCAGCCAGCCCACAACCCTACCTCCCAAATAAACAAATCTCTATCCTTTTTTCATCCAGCTTCATGCTTCACTCCCAGGTATATGTACCACATCCAAACATGTTCTGTCTTATAAGCAGATTAAGGACTGTCTACACAAGTCAGGCCAGTATCTATTGAGAATATAGTATCCTCAGTCAACTCAGGAGTAGCATAGAAAAAAAAAAATCCTTTTGCATCTTTGCATTATCCCGGTCAAACACAACTTGTTTTCTGAGCAAAACCCCTTCTCCTGGGATTTGATTTCACATTATTTTCTACTGTTAAGATACCTACACTAGCTTCTCCTTCTGACTGAAACTTCATCACAGCACACACTCTTCAGATGCCTTCATCTAGAAGCTACATCCCAGTTTCTACCTGTGCAGATGGTAGTAGGGTAGGGGGAAGCCTGCTGCCCAGAAAGCAGTAACCTGTTCATCCTGCAAGCCAGAAAAACTGCTTAGCTCATTACCCAATTAAAAACTAAACAAAAACTAAAAAATCTCCGTAGAGATTCCCCAGCTAAGGCCCTTGAGAAGAGAGCTGGGGATGGTACCCTGTGCAGGTAACAGCTTCAGAGGCTGTTGTATTGTGCTTGTCACTTGGGAAAAGAGCCAGCAGTTGTAGGAACAGGTTTACAAATGCTTTCTCTAGGATATTTCAAACACTTTATTTCAAGTGCTACCCTAGATCCTTCCAGGATCCTGCCACCAAGGTCTAACTGATGGTATTAAACTGGGGCTGGACTTCACAAAAATATGCCCTGAATTATACAAAATGCTCATAAAGAGTGTTTCAAAGGAGCCCTAGCTTCAGATAAGTTTGGAAACAGAAATACTGTGAAGTTCCCCGACCTTCCTGCTTCCCAGCTATTCCCTTCCACCACAACTTTGACTACATGAACAGTGCAAGCAAGACCCCTGGGAGCCTCTGACAGCTCCCAGGAGATGGAACAAGGTCCAGGTGCTCTGTCAGGCAGACAGTCTAAGTGCACAGGCAGATGGCCTCAGGTGGCTTCTGATCAGATATTTGTCATACCAAAACCACCAATTTAAAGGATACCTTTGAAACCCATTAAATTGCTCAGTTTTTGCACAAACTATAGAAAACAGAGAGGTGAAGGTGATATATACGAGGGTGTGAAGAAAACAGCAGGAAACATGCAAAACATTTCTGGGCACTATCTTAGTTTGAAAGATTAAAACAAAAACATCACATTTTGCTGAAGAGATTGTAGTTACAAAAAAAACCAAGCATGCTGGGGCTTAACAAAATACAACATCAACTTTAATCAAATTTTCACTGCAGACTGATAATCACACAGAGAAGCAGGGGAAAAAATAAAAATAATAATTAAAAAAATAATCAATAAATGCCAGGGCAAAAATGTAGCTACAATCAGAAGAAAATGTAGTTCAAGTGTTTTCTGCTGATGCCACTCAAGTCACAAGTTTGAACTCATAAAAACACATGCTGTCTCCTCAAGCACAGAAACCAGATCAGCAAAATGTGACTAGGAAGTCTCCTGAAAGATTGAGTCACACCATATAATTGACTTTTTCTTCAAAACTGTGTTTTTAAAACTAAGCACACAGAAAAAACTAAGCCTAGAAAGTGATTGGCTGTATGTTCACAGAAATACAAATACTCCACAAGGTATGCTAGCAAGGCTGCTCTGAAGACAATTACAAAGAATCAGATTCACAAAATCAAGTGGTTATCTTACGAAGGTCTAGAAAAATAGAAATTCTTTTATATTCAAATGCAAGTTTAAATATTCCCCTTCAGCAGTCTTTCTAGCAAAACCAATTTGGCAGCACAAAAAAAAAAAAAAAGAAAGAAACGAACGTAATAAAAATACACATCAGCATCAAAGGTCAACACAAGGTCAAAGGTGAGAGTTCAAGCATCAGAGAAGCTGAAGAGACAAGGATTTGGACGATGTACTTGAACGCCACATCGACATGCTTTAGGCACAACGATGAACAAACGGCAGGAATCTAGAAAAAAAACAAACCAGAAAGAGGGAGACCCACTGAGTTACACAGAGCAGTACATCCAAACACGGAGAGAGAGAACAAGAATGGGCACTGTACAATGAGATCTCCTGGGGAAGGGAGTTGACAGGGAAGGGCAGCACATGCCAACAATGGACAAGTAAAAGTCAAAGTACATGAAGGACACCAAGTAAACATCAAACTGCCAGAAACCAAATGGAAGCAGAGGCCCGGATTTCCCTCTCAACACCCAGTCCATGGAGCACTCCACAGCCTCGTGACACATTGATTAGCATGCACACCTTACCCTGTGCCCAGTGTGTCTCCACTAGCTCTGTTTCGGAGAACAGAGCAAGGTCCCTCCCCAGGAGACTGACTCCAAAAAAATATGGCTCTAGGGCTAACACTTGCCCACAGAGACCAAGACCATGAGAGACAAGACAGAGGACACAAGGGATTCACAGGTGGTTTGACAGCTGAAACTTTTCTTGCATCCTAACCCGGGAAGTTCTTAGGCAGTGGTAGCCCAGGAAATCCATGTTCTTTCCTTCAGCTACAGTCCCTTCTCATTCCCTAGGAGCCCATGAAACTGGGGGTGGGTGATTTGGAACTGGGCGGAGAAGGGAAAAAAAGATGATACAAGACAAGTAAGTGGAACCAAAAATTCCATACATTAGAGAAGAATTCCTTAAGACTTGACTGCAAGTTAAGACTTGTCCTAGCTGAGCACTCTTCATACCATTAGACCTGCACAGGGATTTTCCTTTCTGAACCTTTTATATAAACAGCTCCCAGCTCCCTGACTTCATGAGGAGGGGATTCTGGGCTCTGAGAAGCTCTACAGTCACTGTTGCCAGTTTGATGAGTAGAAAAAAAATGTGTTTCCTGAAGCTTTTTTGAAGAGTTTATAAATAATTATTCTATTAAGTAATATAAATACCTTTGTTTTCTCCCCATAGCTTGTCAACCGCAAAAGAGATGGAACATTTTGGGACCAATGTGGGAAGTAGGGAAAAGTGGAAGCAAGTTTTTTCTTTTTTTCTTCCTCCCTCCCTGACCCCACCCTCCCTTTATCTCCTGTTTGTGGCCTTACCCTTTAGCACATCTCAAAGCTGCTGGTTAGAGACTAGAGCAAGATGAGACTTGCATATTATCTTATACATTTATAGCATGTTAGAGAATAGCAAGTGTTGCATTCTAGTTCCAACGCAGAGAAGCATGTTTTCCACTAAACCTGCTACACTCCACTTACTAGAACTGCTGCGATTAATTTGCTCTTCATACTTTCCAATTGAGGGAAAGGACTTAGTACGAAGTTTAAACTAACTCCAGCAAACAGGGTACAATGCAACTCTTGCAGTTATTTCTATAGTTCTAGAAATACTCTAGATAGTTTGCAGATAGCCACAAGATTTCAGTCCTAAACTAGAAAGGCAAATTCATCATGAACTAAGGCATGAGAACAAACAAGAGGCATGAAATCAAGTGACATCTAAGCATGTACCATACAAATTCTTCATGTGATTTGTTTGGGGTTTTTTTGATAGAGATTTTTCAAATATTTCACTCAGCAATTTTGAGGGGAAAGGCTAAGTTTCATTAAAGCTCTGAGGAAGGACTGGCCTATAAGAGCAGAGCCATGAGATGCTGGCCAAGAACTTAATGACTTGGGGAATGACAAAATTCCAGTTTGTCCTTGTTTTATTCTCAAACTGTGATAATTCTGCCTTATGTGTTTTATATTTAGTGGTAAGTATGTTCAGGGATTTATAACATCCTTATGTTTAAATGTTTACAGCAAGAAGCTCTCAAAGCATTTTATGTGTTCATAGTTGCACCCTTCAGTTGCAATTTGCTTTATCCAAGTTGCTTTTAGATATTTCCAAATGAAATAGGAACAATTCCATTCTGCTTAGCTGTTCTTCCCTAACTCACAACCATTAACAAGAGGAAACACTTCAGTTAATTCTATCATGCAAGCAGAATCTATTATGGTATGTGACCTTCCGTATTCAGGTGAAAAGCCTTTTCCTTATAGATATATTTGCCAGTGAGAAATTATGAGGCACCTATTTTCCAGATAGTAGCACCTAGCACCCACAGCTAGTAAACTGCTTCACCATTAAAATATAGAGATATATTAAAATAGAGAGATATTCACCATCATCGTCTTCTGAAAAATTCCAGGCTTCATTCTGCTTAGGATTAAAATTTAATCACTATATATCAAAGGCATTTTCTAATAATGGAAGCTTTGTATTATTGAAAGAAAATACTAAACTACAAAGAGATATCCTATTTTGGACTGTTGATTATCTAGGGGACTGAAGAATCTACGATTTTGTTTACTATAGTACTTGATACTAAGCAGCATTGGCCTAGGACTTCAATTGTTCATAATACTTTCATCTTATTACAGCATACCTAGTAAAATCAAATGTCTTCTAAGAAAAAAAATACATCTATGAAGTAGACCATTTCCATCTTGTTTCTAAAAGATCCAAGTACTTCCTGGTAGCACATGTAATATGAAATCCCATTTCACCAGAAGTCCTACTAGCTTTTGTTGTAGAAAATGCAGATTCTTTGGTTTATGACCATACAGAATACTTTGTCCATGTGGCTACTTAAGCCAACCCTTCTGCAGTGTATTTGAACTCACCCAACTCTTATCCTACTATCCAGGAAATAAAGCATCTGACACTGATTTGAGTTGCACTTGAATGAGAGTACGATAGGAATTAAAAGTAAAATAAAATTTAAAAACCCCAAGTCCCCCAAAATCCCAGACTTTCCTGACAATGAGTGAAGAAGAAAACTGGCTTAAGACTGGAAGGCATGAAGAGCCTAGATCTCCAGAGTCAGCAGCAGACACCAGACAGACAGAAGAAATGTTGACTTTATCTGATCAGTTCTGTTATCAGAAAAAAATCTGCCCAAGTCACAAACTTGATACATTTATTAACTTTGGCAACACATACATTGATACACCAAGAAAGGAAAATGTGAAACAAATACACAAAAAGGGCAACATCTTCAGCTGGTGAAAATTGATGCAGGTCCACTGAAGACAGCAAAACTGCATTGATTCAAACCATCTGAGGATCGCATCTTTTAAAATTTAACCTGCATAGTTTTTTTTTTTTCCTTTTTCTTTTTGGCAATACTTATAGTTATGCCAGTAAGGCACAAGAGCTAACCCAAGTTAGGTGTCTTAAGGTGATTATGTCTGGGAGGAGTCACTGATCAAACTAAGCCACAGAGTAAACTGGTGAATCTCCTAAAGTCAATAGGAGTTGCACCTATTTGCAACAATGCCAAGCTTGATCCATAAGTTACAGTATTGAGGACACACTATAGGATGCAGAAGCTAAAATAGCTGATTTTGGGCAACTGAAATGACTAGTAAAGAGGCCAGAGCATCAGGTTAAAAGAAAAACAGGACAAAGGTCTCAGATAGTACAGTGGGGTAGGGTGCAAGGAAGGTAAAAGTGACTGTAGAGACCCCAGAGCACAGTGCTCTCCTCCACTGGTTCACAGCATTCATCTTCCCCATTTAGCAGTTGTTGGGCTGCAAACAGGCCACTGAAAATCAGTAGTTTCAGTCATGCACATCGTTATGTGTGTAAAACAATCACATTCAGGATTCTACAAAGCCCTGGCCTTTTTTTCCAGTGAAATAATTTAGGTAATAAATATTCTCCACCCTGGAGCGGTATAAAACTTCTATAAAAATAGAAACAACATTCTTGGTTACAGCAGGTTGCACTTGGAGCAGTTGCTCCTAACTATGGTTTGTTTGGTTTTTTTTCTGTTTTTTTTTTTTCTTTTTTTTTTTTTGAAAAGTATATTATTTATTAAAAAAATCCCATTATCACCTGGAGGCCTTCACACTCCAACACTCTTTTCTCAGAAAACCAGGACACATCTTTCCCATCGTGCAGAATTCAAGTGTACATGGTTCACTTAAGTGTATGTTTATGTTTCTAGAGAGATTCAAATAATTAACATAGAAGGGTACCACATGCCAGCGTAAGTAGGAAATTTGGCAATCTGGCCTTTGAACCTTTGCCACCACAAAATGATTTCAATAATACTGATAGATTTACCCATCTGCCATCACTATAGACAGACCAGCATCAACTAACTTATTTGATTTTCAATTTAAGAATGGAAAGGGCTCTTCTTAGATGCTATGCATCAGGCCTTGTACTTCTGAGGTTTGAAATCCCAGGGGACCCAGTCCCTGGGAACACCTGACACACCCAACAGACCACCGCACATGGGTGCAGATCCGGAATGTGATCTCAGGTTTGATGGGTTTAGTGCTCCTCCTGCTGGAGCAGAACAGAAAGGCCCAACCCTATGTCTGACCCACACACTTTTTAGCAGCTGGCTCCCAGACTGCAGTGTTAGCTGGTGCCCTGGGAAACAGCATCACGAACCAGGAATACAAAGAAAACAAGGAAAAGGAGAAAATATGAGGTAAATGGAACTTCTGTTAAAGACACACAGAAATTGTAAACTTCCTCTTGTGACAGAGGTGGATTTTGGTGGTTATAAAATGGGACTCTACTCTGATCTCTTAAAACAACTCAGGCCAGAGTGTCAAAAGTCCTTTGAGCCCCCTAAAACCAGTATATAACAAAGGCCTTTAGCAATGCATTAGCAATTTTACAAGTGTGCAGAAAAAGTGTGTGTCCATTGAAGGGGCGTGTTCAATTTTCCTCCGATATAGAAGATAACAGCTAGTACCAAAAGGCAGAATAAGACTGATTGGCTCAATGCTCTGCTCTGGTTTCACAGCTCCTGTGTTAGCCTGTTTTACACTGGTACACACCACCTTAAAGGAAAACTGCAGTATAAAGAAATACCTATTACTAGACCGAATCACTGCACAAATTGCTTAAAAAAAATCCAGGAGGTTATCTTTGCAACAGCATTAAGACTGAGAAATCAAATCCTACGTGAATGTGTATGAAACAAGAGCCTCAAGAGCTGTGTTAGGGTAACTCTGGGCTTTGTATCTCAAGTTAACAGTCATTTTAATAGAGAAACAAACATCACTTACATTATGCTTATAAGAATGAATTCAAAGTAATACTCTGCAAAAAGGACATTATTCCACAGAAATGGGGAATGTGATGAACTCTTAAGAAGAAAAATTGTCAAAAAAATTCTGCATGTTACCAGGGGTCAAAAGTTTCTTGTTTCTAGCCCCAGATGTATTCATCCAGACTAAGCTGTCTGTCTCTCTACCTTTCTACAAAACCTAGATAAAGTACATAGGATAAGTTTTCTTAAATATGGAGAAATTCACTGCATCTCATTAATATTCAACTGTAAATGGATAGTGAAATTTTCTGGGCAGGGACATTAATAATTTTATAAAGTGCTGTGTGTACATTCACAGTGCTATATAAACACAACTTTATATACAGAAAAAAAAAATTACTGCAGTTTTCCTTTGGCTTGTTAATTTGTTCACCCTTCTAGCCTGTCTCCTGCTTTAGAGATGATTTACTAAATCCCCGCCATGGCATACAGTTAAGGAAATTTCAAAGAGTGGATGGGGCATGACAAAGGCTACATGGAGTCAGTTCTTCGCTCACCCAAACTTGGATGGACTTGGTTCTCCTTCCCCATCTTTGTTTTCATCAGCTGTTCTGTGTTATTCCTGCTTTCCCTTCTCCTCTCCCCCATGGCGGTGTGGTGTCAGTTCTGCTTCCCCTTCTCTCTACCCCAAGGCAGTGTGGTGTCAGTTTCTGCTGCTCCCTTGAAGCTTCCCTCCCCACCCCCAAGGAGCTGGCATTGGTCCTTCTCAACACACACTGGTTACAAACACAGCAAACTTCAAATAAGGGGGGGGAAAAAAAAAACAAAACAAAACAAACAAAACCTCAGCGATATGGCACCTAAACTCCAAAGTAAAACACTGGAAACAAAAGCACAAACTTGTCCTCCATCTGAAGCGGGATTCTCAGCAGAGGCTGCAGCCGAATCTTCAGGGGAAGATGTGCCAGATAGAAGGCATGGATCAGCTTCCAGGACTGTAAAAACACAGCCTTAGGGCTTCGAATCACTAAGTGCGCTCCTCTCCAACTTACCAGAAGATCCTTCTCACTCCAGTCCTGGAGGGGAGGGGCGCTCAGTATGGCTTGCTGTCATTCTTAGAGCGCTTGAGCTGTACTTTCAGACGCTTCATGCCAATCTGAAAGCCGTTCATTGACTGAATGGCAGCCTGTGCAGAGACAGGATTGTCGTAACTTACAAAACCTAAAGAAAGAAAAATACATAATTACACCATGCCAAAGCTGTGCAGAACACCTACTCACAACTGGAAATGCAGGTACTCACAAGGTAAGAGAGGCTTGCACGAAACGCCATTTTCAGAAGCTCACAACTGTTTTAGACTCTTCATAAAACTTCTTACTAAGGGCTCTCAGACAAAGCGTTGCTTTCTGACATACGGAACTTTGCCCGAAAGATACACAAAGCTTAGGAAATTAAAATAATACTTTTGTTGGAAGACTAGAAAACAAGTACTGCTGTTTGTTTTATAAGAACTCATACCTGGGAGAAAACCAAACCTGGAAAATGTTAATCTATATATGAAAGCTCATTAAAGACAAAAGACTGAAATCGCCCTCTTGGTATTACGGGAGTAGATCTGATTAGAGTGAATTAGCTGTCAAGGCAGCGTGGCACTTGTACTACTATTATGCTTAGGTGTCTCTTGGATGAAAAGTTGTATATCTCTTCCAAG